CCATCCTGTGCTGCCATTCTGTACACAGTGCAGCCAGGAGCATCGGACCATTTTGTCCCTGGGCTGTTCGCTGCTAGGGTGTGCTTCACTCGAATTCCCAACGTTTGCAACAACATGGGTATGGGTCAATACCTATAGATACATTTTTAGTGGGATGAACATCCATTTACCAGCTATTTTGGGGTTCACTAGGTACCAGGATTTTGACCCATCCCCACATCATACAACATCAACAACTCTTGCAAAGACGTTTAGAATGGAAAGAACCGGTCCAGTGGTCCAGGAATCACATCTCAGAAAGTAGTTGGCGGTTGAATACCTCCCATGATGTCTCTTTCGCAAGCTTGCCCTCTGGGATTCTGTGGTGCTAAATATTAATTGTGTACAATTGTACAGTATGATCAGTATGCACGCTATGAATTCGCATGCATTTTGCTGGCTAACACGTTCCAACACATTCCAACCATTTTCATCCAAAATGTTGCAAAGCAGCTTTGCTTGAAGTAGCTTCAGGTGCACATGGGCAGTAATGTCACTTCGTGGTGTCCCGTTTGCAGCTCGGAGCTGACTCGGAACCACTGCAGACTGAGCACTTGAAGTGACATATCTTGCGAAGATTGACTGAGCTGATCTGGACCTATGCAGCTTCTTGGCTCAGAAGCCCTACAACTCATGGTGCTCCCAAGATCAAGCAGCAAGAGCATTTATTCTTCAAATGTTTTGTTGAAACTTGAAGCGATTTCCTCCAAGCATTTTCTGGCAGCAAGCAGCTTGTTCTTTTCCCGCTTTGATTCAAATGCAGCAGTAGAGCCTAACTCTGACTAATTCTCCTTCAAGTGAAGCAGTTTGATGCAGTTTGCAGTTCAGCCTTTCCTATGTCTTTGAAACAGACCCGCTATCTATCCAGTGTATTCCTGTGTAGCTTCTCCATGTTTAATGGTGCCCTCGAGCACTTGTGATGAAGACCGCGCTATCCTGAACCTACGTCTGGATTGGTTCTGGCAGAGCGATGTTGAAGGCATCGATGTTCGGCGTAATTTGATGAAGTGTCCGGATGTGCGGGACAGCATGGTTTTGGCGGAAGTGTCCTGGTTAATGAAGAGACTGAATCAGTTAAGAACGTACTTTCGTTTCAATACCTCAAATCATACGCACATGACAAATGACTGGCGATCTCACTATATGAGGACAATGCGCCACGTGTCAGCTGCAGAAAAGATCCTTGAGAATCTGCTGCTAAAGAGCAGTTTGTTTTATTTTTTCCACCCAGCTCAGCTTGGAACGGGACTGTTTTTCTACGCTGCAAGTCTGATGCGTCGGCTGCTGACAATTTTGCCATTAATGCTCTCTAAAGATTTCCGTGCGCTGTCTTTGTCACAGCGTCCTAGTGATTCATTTTGGCACGTCTTGGAGGCAGGTTTGCTGCGCGATGTTGCCCTTGATGTCGCGCTGCCTGACACACCTGAGCCATGCACTCTGCTTGCAGCTTTGCAAGACCTTCTTGTAGCGGACGGTCTGCGCATTGAAGCGGGCTCAGATTGGAGTGGTGCACTGGGACGGGAAATCAGGCGATCACTGGATTCTGCTCAACAACAGTTGGTTTGCATGCACAAACATCGGGGTGGCAAGCTGCTGCAGCATTTCATGTTTCCGAAGGCCTTTGTTTTCTTTCTTTTTCTCGATCGTCTTGACTGCCGAAAAGTGGCAGCAATCAAAGCCAATCGGCTCGGCGAGAGCTTTCTTCGTTCTAACAAAAATACACTTTGGATGCATGTCTTACCCGCTCGGCACATCGAGTCAAACCATGTTCGAGGCAAAGGTGACTTTCACTGTGGGTGGAATCGTTTGATTGTAGAACAGTTGGAACAATCCACAGGTGACAGTTTTCGATTCGTGGAAGTCGGGGCATCTTTGGGAGGTTGCAGCTGGAGAGTCTTGACTTCAGACGATCGGGCTTTTGCTTTGGCTGTTGAGCCCTACAAACCAGCGGCAGATGCTATGAGACGTACAGCGTTCGAGAACGGACTGGCTGATCGATTTACGATTTCGGAATCATTCGTTTCGACCAACTCCACATGCCCGCGCGTTGTGAGAGTTGGCTTTGCACATGAGTTTGTAGATCAGGATGAGCTTAAGCAGGTGGACGCTACACATGTGGTTGAGCATGACTGCCAGACTGCAACTTTGGCGGATATCTTGAATAGGTGGAGCAACGCCACTGTGGATCTCTTGCAAATCCATGTGGATGGCTTCGAAATGGATGTGCTCAGATCTGCTGCAGAAAACTTGCACAAGATCAAAACCCTGGCCATATCTATGTGGACGTACCGAGATTTTCCACAAGCTTACGATCCCGCGGCGATCATCCAGCTCCTGCTGGACTCAGGTTGTACTGCAACGTTGCACTATTTACGCGTCCAGCCGCGTAAAAGTGTGCTTCCTGAGATGAAAGAGCTCCACAACCAAGAAGCGGTAAGCGCACTCACGAAGTCAGAGGTCCTGTCTCTTGACACCATGACCCTCATGGCATTCTGTGGTGAAAAGTGGAGAGCACAATTTGCTTGAACGTGATGAGGATTATGAGCGTGTGTTTCCCCATGATTGGATAAAGTTTAAGCTGGATGGACATATACGTATAATTAAAGAGAATTGTTATCGAGACTGAAACTGTTGTAAAGGAATGTTCCCAACCATGTGTCTCTGTTGGAAGCGAGTTGTTTACAAGATGTTACAAGTTTATACAAGCCTAAAGCTAGTTGGTTTATTCTACCAAAAAACAGTGAAAATAATACGCCAGGATGAGATCCTCTGCGGCGATTGACTTTTGGGAGATCTTTGCTGCACTGACACCCACCAGCTGAGGATTCCAAGTCAGGGCCACCTGCAATCAGACACCAGAGGACACAGTTCTGGCCAATGTTGTCAGATCGCATAAGATCCTATAAGACCTCATGAGATTGGACAAGTTTTTAGTCCATGAACTCATGAACTCTCAGTTTTGGAGCATGCGTGAGGTTCACTGCAGAAACCGTTCTGCTCTCTCCCTGCAATCTTATCCACATGACAGGAGCCATCAGTTTGCGGAAGCTGCCTGTCCAGGGTCTCAGCATATTTGACCGCCTTACCCTTCTCCTGAAGTGATCCAGAATTCTACACATATTAATAATTGCATTGCAGAGCCAGGCAAGGTTTAAGTGTAGGCAGTTGATTGAAATTAATTATTTGCATCATGAATCATTGCCTCTTTCGGAGCTTCCCTGCAAAGCAAAGACCCTGCTGCTCAGGAGTCCTTTGTCGAGGAGCCTTCTTTGTATGGCTGAATGCTATAATTTTGAGGCTGTACAGCAAGAAATCAGAAAGGCATTAGGCATTTGAGCAATACTCAAAAGGAGGCGTGTGTTTCTGGATTTATTGGATCCTTCGCTTCCTTGATGTCTCTTTGGCAGCCACCTCAATGGGCCTGCTTCGGCATCGAAGTATCTGCCGTATCCTGGCAGCTTGATGGAAATTCATTCAAGGAAAGGAACGCCAGCTGGATTGACAAGCTTCCACCTTGGGTTTCAAAGTTTCGAATGATTGGTACTAACGCTTGCTCTTGGAAACAAAAGGGATGCTGCGAGTCCTCACCTTCATGTGGATCCACAAACCTGTGTTATCCTGTGTTCATTCACATAAAACCTCCAGGTGTTTGTCAACTTCACTGTGTTCCCTCCAGGTGTACGGTGTGCAGAACGCGTGGGTCAGACGTCAAGAGGCTGCGAAGGTTGGCCGCGGCTCAGATTTAGATAGATTTAGTGAGTTGAGGCCATTTGGTCTATGGCAATGTATGGCATTAATATGGGGGGTCTTGAAATCTGATGTTATTAGGTTGTGATGTTTGTCAAAGACAACATGATGATCACATGTTGATATTCTGCCAGAATTATCCAATGAAATCAACTGAACTTCTTGCCCGCAGGACAGCGCGGTATGCACATTGAGTACTTTCTTCCATGCTTCATACTTCCAAGGGGTCACGCGAATTCCTGAAAAGGATCACCTCAGTTTGGAACTATCTCGAACCTCCAATAGAAACAATGACCGCAACATTTCAAGATCGGGGCAGCATGATGACATTAGGCAAAATGATCAGAGAACTGTAGGATACCTGTAGGATTTTAATGGATTTAAGCTAGATATCTTGAGATGTCAAATTGTCACGAACCCGAAATCATCCAGGCCGAAGTGCCGCCTGCAGGATCGCACTTTGGCAGCAAGGCTTGCGCTTGAGCGCAGGGTGGCACTGGGGATGGGGGGTCCCACTGCTGATTGGTGTGGAAACCGGCTTTCTTTGCTTGTGGATTTGTGAACTCTTGGCAAGCTCGTTGGCAGATTCACTGCACCAGTTGTTGCGGAGCCATTGGCCAAGCCTGTTTTCAGGGGTACTGTAGGGGTGGATACCACCCAGAAAATTTTGAGTTCTGAGCCAAATAGATTCACCTTTCTGAATTTTACAAAGAATTCATAAGAAATCATAAGCAACAAGGCTTTCTGAACCCTGTAAAGGTGACCGGCGCTGCCTGCGGAGCATATTCCCCATGTTTTTTTGATTCGCAGGCGGCATCGAATCGAGCAGGACCCAATACTCACCCAACAAGGCGCCGGGAGGATGGCTACGGGGTATCACACCAGAGATGCAGTGAGATTCCGAGTTGCAGGGCACTTCGTCTTGATCATTCGCTTGATGAAGATGAATGCAGCCCGATGCTGTTTGGACTCAAGATAGCCCACCAGAAAGATTTAGAAAGATGATATGATATGATATGATATGATATGCAATAGCAACAGTGACAACGAATGACAATGAGAAGAAGTTATGAACGATGCCTTTCTCATTTGCATAACTCAGCGGGGTAAGCAAGAGTATTCTATCACATTCTGATCAACTTGCATCCATTGACCACAGTTCATTGAAGTTGGAGAGCAGTCCATTGCAGAAGTATCCACTTAGAGTCCCTGCCATGCCGTTTCTTTCGAGAGAAGAGTTCAAGGAGTGGGCTGATGATGGCACTGGCAACGTGTGGCAGCGAGTGAATGCCACGGGTGCATTCTGCGGGCTTTGCTATGCCGCCGGTGACATTTTAAGGAATTTGAGGGTCCTGAGGGGCGCTTCATCAATGAAATATCGAATCATCACAGATTTCACAGATGCTGAGAATCGGCGCATCCACATTGAGGTCGCTCAAGCTGATTCCGAAGAAGATTTTTTAGATCTGCTGAATAGGCTCAATTCTCTCACAGTTCAAGAGGTCATGGGGGCAGCTTCCTCAGATAGGATGGAAATGCTGGAGCAGCTGATCGGGAGAGCGAGGAACATAGATGTGGATGTAGCCAACGAACAGAGAGAATTTCTCTCGGTTGAAATGCTGCAGAAGATCTCAAGATTGGAGCGCGCCGAGACTACTCTTCAACAAAAGCTTGAAGAGGCACAGAAAGCACTCCAGAACAAAGAGGCTGAGAAGCAAGAACTTCAAGATGAATTCTGTGTCACCCTGGCCCAACAAGCTTTGGAACAGGTCTTAGATGAGGCGAAGGCTGAGATAGAGCCATCAAATTCGACAGCATCCACAGAGAATCGCCCAGACAGTTTGGGCCAGTCAAGTGCAGTGAGCAGCACATCTGATGATGCTTCCAGCTCGGAAGCAAGGCACGAGGGAGAAGCCGTGACATTCCAAGAAACTGAGCCGGAAGCTCTCGCTGTGAATGGCAGCCATACTGAAAAGACCCTGTCTCTCCTCTTGCCACAGGGCCAAGAAAGCACAGGTGACGAGACGGACATGCAAACTCTGGAGCTTAGGCAGTCAGGGATGAGCTTCGTTGAGAGTGTGCTGAAAGGCCCATTCCGTTGCAGTTTAGCCAGGGCCTTTTGGCAGCTCGCAGCGGCCACGTACCGCGCTATCAGCTGCAATCATGTAGAGTTGGAGGGCAAAGTTTGGGAAGTTGTTGCACAATAGAGCCACGGAGACGCTGGTCATTGGCCGAAGGGTGGAGAAGACTGACATCTTCGAGGTCGGGTTTCGTGGAACTGTGACTGAAAACATCTACGGCAACGGGAGTGCTGCAAATTGGTCTTCGAACCTGGACTATGCAGCAGTACCCTTGCAAGGTCCAGATGGTGACGACTCTGATGTGCTTGTGCACAAAGGTTTCTTGCTTTAGATTTTGGTGCAGTGTCTTTGACTTAGCAAGTAAACACACTGCAAGGAGGACATGATAGTCACCAGCTGCCCTCAGAGCCGAAAGTTGTACAACGTGAAAAGTTACAATATCAATCAATCTTAATCAATCATATCAATCATATCGTGGACTTGTAGCAATACGGTACGGGTCACAACAAACCAGCCTTAACTTTGGCTTGTTCATGCTTTTTCAACATGTTCATGTTGCCTTTTTTGCGTCTTTTGTACAGTGAAGGCTTTCAGGACGCTTACCTTGCTGTCAACTCTGCAGTGATCCAATGGTTGGAGAAGTCCGTCACGGGTAGATCCTGTGTTCGCATCGCGGGTCATTCCCTCGGTGGTGCTTTGGCGACGTTGTTTGCTGTGGACATCAAGAGACGTGGATGGCAGATTGACGGTGTGGTGACATTCGGTAGCCCCAGAGTTGGTCAGCAAGCCTTCAAGTCTCTCTACCAAGAAATGAATTTGTACCATCTCACGGTGCGGTTTACCAACCAGACTGATCCTGTGCCTTGTTTTCCTCCTTCGTCTTCGGGCTTTGAGCATGTGGTGGAGGAATATGCTTTGGGCTCAACAGGGCTTCCGGCGGGCAGTAGTCATTCCATGGCAGGAAGTTCCAAGTCTTACTGTCTCACATTGCAAGATGCGGTGGAAGGTTATGAACGTGGTCTGCAATATGGCATTGCCTCACGTGTTGTTACCTACCTCACTGCGAGCAAGAGACGAATTTTCCGGACAAGCATCGGCAAAGACAGTGCAGCTTGTACCGCGTGTGTTTGACATGCGAAACGAAAAAGCCTTGCGCCCGATGCGGTCTCGCGAAGTCGGAGGCCGACTTTGGCGCAGCAGCGTGGAAGGCGCGACATGCAGAGAGACGGTGTTGTCGAACATGCGCAGCCAAGATGCGCGACCACTGGACGTGCAGCCACTGCGCAGAACGAAAACCGCGCGCAGAATTCTCTGCCTGGCAAGAGAAGCGCACGTGGGCGCAAGATGGCACGCAATGCTGCAACACGTGCGTGTCGTTAACGTTGGTTTGTCGTGTCGCCACACGAGCGAATCAACGCGTGCTGCCTTTGCGGCGCCGCATCCAGCGGGAGCGCGAGCAAGCGATCATAGAGGAGGTTCGGCGAGAGATAGCGGCAGTAACCGAGCAGAGGTGCACCTGGAAGACGAGCGCAAAGAGCACACCGTGCGCGATGGGGTTACCGAACACGGCGCGCAAGGTCGCTGTAGCCGCCGACACAGGTAGCGCAGTGCCCGCGCGACTGGCCAGCGGTGCGGGCGCCACGCACGAGTCGCACCCCCAGTGCGGCCCCGAAAAGAACGAGGACAATAACACATTCGACTACACGTGTCCGTTTTGTGCTGCTGCCGTCCGCAGCATTGTGCGTTCTGGCCAAGTAAATCACCGCAAGCATTGCGGCAACCAATTTCGGCCCACTTGGTCGAACATGGCAATGCAAGTGAAGGAAGAGCTAAAGGTCGACATGGCCCTCCTGCGGCAAGATATCTCCAAATTGGCTGAGGGCATGGTTGCATCCGTCCAAGCACTCCGGAACAGTGTCAGGCAGATTCAGCAGTGGAATGGCTGTTGGACATGGAGACTCCCATTGAAATTGTCAAGCACTACAAGTCACAGCTGCAAACGTGGCAGCAAGGTGTCCCAGGGTGGTTTATCAAGTACAAGGTCCAGTTGAACCGAGCACTTGAAGCTGCAAAGATGGAGCTGCGCGATCCGAACTCGCAGCTGGCGCATCAGTTTGTGGTGTTGTACCTGCGGGCTGCACGCATCCTCATCGGTGCCATGAGCAACTCTGGAGCGCAGCTTGGAGATGTAGATAAAGAATTTCAAGAGTTTGTCACAGCAGCAAAAGGGCTGGTTTTGCGGTGCCTGCATTTTGAAATTCCTCTCCTGAATCAGATCTTGTTGCTTCTGCCCAGCAAGGAAGATTTTGCCTTGCCACAGGAGGTTGATGTAAAGTTGGGAGGTCCAATTTCAAACGTTCGAATCCTACAGATGCACGGCAGAAGTCTTCAAGTTGGATGTCGCTTGTTGGGGCTGTTGAAGTGGAGCGGCCAGGAAGCACTGAAATTGAAATTTGACAGTGAAGAACCCATGAATGCACTGTCGTGGAAGCAAATCACAGATGCATCGGTGCAGCAGCTTGCCAGCAAGATGCCGCAGAACCTGACTTCTCTGAGCTTGGATTTCAGTGAGTGCAAGCAAATCACAGATGCATCTGTGCAGCAGCTTGCCAGCAAGATGCCGCAGAACCTGACTTCTCTGAGCTTGGATTTCAGTGAGTGCAAGCAAATCACAGATGCATCTGTGCAGCAGCTTGCCAGCAAGATGCCGCAGAACCTGACTTCTCTGAGCTTGGGTATCAGTCAGTGCAAGCAAATCACAGATGCATCTGTGCAGCAGCTTGCCAGCAAGATGCCGCAGCACCTGACTTCTCTGAGCTTGGATTTCAGTGAGTGCAAGCAAATCACAGATGCATCTGTGCAGCAGCTTGCCAGCAAGATGCCGCAGAACCTGACTTCTCTGAGCTTGCATTTCAGTTGGTGCGAGCAAATCGCAGATGCATCTGTGCAGCAGCTTGCCAGCAAGATGCTGAGAACCTGACTTCTCTGAGCTTGGGTTTCAGTCGGTGCAAGCAAATCACAGATGCATCTGTGCAGCAGCTTGCCAGCAAGATGCCGCAGAACCAGACTTCTCTGAGCTTGGATTTCAGTTGGTGCGAGCAAATCACAGATGCATCTGTGCAGCAGCTTGCCAGCAAGATGCGGCAGAACCTGACTTCTCTGAGCTTGAGTTTCCATGGGTGCAGGCAAATCACAGACGCATCTGTGCAGCAGCTTGCCAGCAAGATGCCGTAGAACCTGACTTCTCTGAGCTTGAGTTTCAATGGGTGCAGGCAAATCACAGACGCATCTGTGCAGCAGCTTAACAGCAAGATGCTGAGAACCTGACTTCTCTGAGCTTGGATTTCAGTTGGTGCGAGCAAATCGCAAATGCATCTGTGCAGCAGCTTGCCAGCAAGATGCCGCAGAACTTGACTTCTCTGAGCTTGCGTTTCAGTCGGTGCAAGCAAATCACAGATGCATCTGTGCAGCAGCTTGCCAGCAAGATGCCGCAGAACCTGACTTCTCTGAGCTTGGATTTCAGTTGGTGCAAGCAAATCACAGATGCATCTGTGCAGCAGCTTGCCAGCAAGATGCCGCAGAACCTGACTTCTCTGAGCTTGAGCTTCAATGGCTGCAGGCAAATCACAGATACATCTGCGCAGCAGCTTGCCAGCGACATTAGCTCAAGTGCATCTTCGAAGATTCGGGTGTGTTTTGTACTCAACGGAGACCTTCATTTAAGATGATGATGATTTATCATATCGAAAGGCAAGTTGTCCCCAGTATTCTGTGTTTCAAGTGCATTTAAAACGACTTGGCAGGCCGCAAGCGGGTGAAAATCCACAAACATTGCTGCTGCCCTAGAGCCCATGCTGCACAGTACATGCTTTCCCCATGTCAAAGTGAGCCAAGGGGCATTGCTTTGATTCCTTCGCAATTAGCAGCTGTTTTGAGCGCAGGTAAACCTACAGTGGGTGCCAGGCCAAGGCAGGTCGGGTGCCAAATTGCCAAATGCCATAAATTGATGGGTTTGACAAAGTGCCGGTGCCGTATGTAGTTTAGAGATGTTTGCGGTTTTTGTGTGTTTACCTGTCAAAAACGTTGATATCTATACGTATCTACATGTAACATGTATTTACATGTATTTACCATGTTTTGTGCATTCACCCTTCAAACACCACTATTTGCATTGTTTTTTTTTTGCGTTGACAAGAACGTGCCCTCATAGCACAAAACCCTGCTGATTTCACCATGGAAAAAAGGAGTGGAACATAGAGGATCAACGATCGATCAGTTGAAAAACAGTATTTTTTATTTGATCAAATTTGTAGCAGCATGGTTTGGCTTTGTGGAAGTTATTTGGAGGACTTGTTCCTTTTTCCGCTTTGTTTTGTTTCGTGCCGACTCTCATCCACTGCCATGATAGGTGAAGTGCAGTCTCTAAAGCTCTCCAGAGCTGTTGGAAGTTCTTGGATGATCTCACAAGGCCGGGGCCTGGACTTGACATTTGGAGGATGCCAACATCTACCAACAATATTGAACGATTTCTACGATTGTGTTTCGTCTAATTATTTCATTTCATGCTTAGAACATCTTGGAACGGTCAACATGGTTGCCTCCAGATGACATGGTGGACAGCTATCGTCAACTATCCACTGTTGCTGCTTTAGGTGGACAACTGGACTTGTTTCAATAGATAAGCATAGATATATGTGGACATGGGTCAAAATATGTCAAAATTGTGGGTATCACTGCACCAATCAACCCACAGAGTTCTACTTATGTCTGTTTTGTTCTATTCTACCCATCCATTTTTGATGAATAAGTTCGATCATGTTTGATCGATACCCATGTGGCTGATGTATTTCATCTTGATGGTGCTGTAGCTGCCACACGAGGCTTCATCACAGAGGTGGTGTGAGGTGTGTCATGGGCATGGCTGGGGATGGGTTTTGGGCCATGACGATGGATTGGAGAAAATCACGTAAAGTGAACATTGATGATCGGTGGCTTTCTTGCCTGGTATCTAAGATTGATTTCGGAGTGATCAGGGTTGAGATGTGGATGATGACACTGCGGAATCCCGGCTTTGATGAATAGATGAATCCATGAATGGGGATCCCTGACAACCTGTCCGACCTATCTTAGCAGTGTGCTCACTACTGGTAGATATGAATTTCAAATAATTTCAATCTAAGAGAGAGTAGCTTACTGGGGGCAAAACAAGACACAGCTCCAAATCAGGGGCTTGCCTCAAAGTTGGGAGTGCAAAGAGTGGAGTGATCATACTTACTCGAAATGGGTATCGGCTCAGTCAATATCTACAAAATGTGCCATGGTCAAATGTTGGGTTGTTTGCAATCTTAAGGCATAGCCATCCTCCCATTTATTTCGCGGTTTACATACCCCATGACCATGATATTGACTCCCGAGTGATGTCATGCCCCGGGTCCCCGATGTCCGATACTTTCCAATCACTTTGACATTTGTGAGAATCTCTCAGGTACCACAAGAGTCCACAGTGATGTCAGTGATGTCTATGTAGTTGCATGCTGTTCAACTCTGCACTGCAAGTCTTTTCGCTTCTGGTAACATTTGAACATGTTACTTGCAACCACTGTTCCAAGCAGAAGTGATTCGGGTCTCACATGTGTAGCATTCTGTCCAGAATCTTGAAGAATTGCTCATCCTATGGCGTCGAACCAGCTACAGAGGATTTTCGCGCCACAAGAGCTGGCTTTTTCAAAACCATCATATTATTGCAGAACATATTTTTTTTTGTCGACAGGCTGGCGTCATTGAGACCTTGGCACCAGTGTTGCTGAAGAACCCCGAGCACGAGAAACCGCAGGACAGGCTGGAATGCGCAGCGAAGGGTTCTTGTTTTGCACGCAGGTGGAATTGAATTTTGTTTTTTTCTCCAGGATATATTTTCTTGGATTCCCTCTACCGGGTTGTTGCACTACAAACTCGGTGTTTGGACAATCCCAAAATACAGATCAACGCATTTTTGAAGCATGTCAAAGTTTCTCATACACTAAGTGAATATATTTTAATATGCATATATATATATAAGTGAATTATGCCCAATCGTGAAATGTTCGCTGTTTTTCTGTTTTTTCTCCAAACAGAACACTTTTCTGGGTTGTCAAGGCCCTCTAAGCAGCGTTGGATAGGGTGTACACTTTCTGCGAATCTCCGGGGAAAATCGTGGCAGGTTGTGATAGAACTGGTGTTGGGACTCGGCGTGCCGTGGAAATTGGAACTCAGCCTGGAGCCAGGGTCCCTTAAAAATAAATATATTCAAATTTTATTCGAAAAATTAGAGATTTAATTAAAACAAATAGAAATTAAATATATATATATAAATTATATACATAAATGTTTAAATCTTTGCAAAAATAAAATAATAATAATTATCTTTCCAATATATTAATATATACATATATATATATATATTGAAATTATAATTAAATTAATGTCTTAATATTTGTATATAATAATATGTTTTTATATAATTTGAATTTTGAAGAATTTTTAGCTATAATAATAAAAGTACGGTAAAGACATTTAAATATGTGGCGGGCGGGCCGGCCAGACCGCGAGGCCTAGGAGGTAGTACAAAATACCAGTTTATATATTTAAATATAATTACGATATATTTAAATGAATTGGATTTCGAATGTTTAAATGGCTAGGCGGGCTAAGGAGAATCTTTTCGGAGGTAGTCTAAGATACTTGTTTATATATTTTAAAATTCGTATATTTAAATGTAGTTACCGTATATTTATTTTTTTAAATTTGAAATATATTTGTTTGATTTAATTTTGATTTTTAATATTTATTATAGGCTTATATGTGGTTTTGGATTTTGCGATTTTGATTTGATTTTTATGATTTATAGATTGTTTTATTTTTTTTTGATTAGATTATAATTTTGGTTTGATTTAATAATTTTATTGAAAAATAAATAATTTAAATAATATATATTTAAAAAAATATAAAAATTAAATAATTTAAAAATATTACGAAAGGTAGCTCCAGAGGGGCTACCTTGAGTTTTACTTTACGAAGTAAAGGGGAGGGCGGCCAGCCCCGTTACCTGATTCTTCAGGAGATTGCTAGTCATTTTAGTACCCACCCCCCCCACCCCCCTCCCTCAACACCTTCTATGCACCCTAAGAGCAGACACAAAACATTGTAATTTACAGTATTTTTGTTTTTTTCGGATTAAGAAACCACATTTTGCTACATGGTGAAACCTCCGTAAATACCAGTGTTTTTGCCAGGTGCTGGCCAAAAAACACTATAAATACCGTGCTTTTTACTACCAGAGGCAAAAAACATCGTAAATACCGTGGTTTTGGGCTTCCGACCCGCCAAAAACATTGGTATTTACGGTGTTTTTTGCTCCGAGAGTTGTAAAAACACGCGAAAACACCAACGATTTTCGGCCACTACGGAACCGAGCAAAAACGCTGCAG